GTGAGTGGTGTATATGTTTTGACCAGAGTTAAACTTTGGAAGTGAGTGGTGTGTATGTTTTGACCAGAGTTAAACTTTGGAAGTGAGTGGTGTGTATGTTTTGACCAGAGTTAAACTTGTGGAAGTGAGTGGTGTGTATGTTTAGACGGCCAGAGTTAAACTTGTGGAAGTAAGTGGTGTGTATGTTTAGACGACCAGAGTTAAACTTGTGGAAGTGAGTGGTGTGTATGTTTTGACCAGAGTAAAACTTGTGGAAGTGAGTGGTGTGTATGTTTAGACGGCCAGAGTTAAACTTGTGGAAGTGAGTGGTGTGTATGTTTTGACCAGAGTTAGTATATAAACAGTATGAGGTTACTAACAACTATCCAAGAAGTTCGAAACGAATCGAGTTATTATTACCGTAAGTTGTTTTGTCTTTAGCTAAAGCATAGGGCAATCGAGTTATTATTACCGTAAGTTGTTTTGTCTTTAGCTAAAGCATAGGGCAATCGAGTTATTATTACCGTAAGTTGTTTTGTCTTTAGCTAAAGCATAGGGCAATCGAGTTATTATTACCGTAAGTTGTTTTGTCTTTAGCTAAAGCATAGGGCAATCGAGTTATTATTACCGTAAGTTGTTTTGTCTTTAGCTAAAGCATAGGGCAATCGAGTTATTATTACCGTACGTTGTTTTGTCTTTAGCTAAAGCATAGGGCAATCGAGTCCCCCGAACATTCTCGCCTCTTTCAGCTGTGGGAGCGATATAATGTGACATTCAATCCCAGTATTCCTTCATAAAGAGTAGCCCAAGAGTTTAGCGGTGGGTGTTGTTGACCTTCAACCAGACAAGAGTTGGTGGTGGGTGTTGTTGTTGACTAGCTGCCTTTACCCTGGTCTATCACTTGTAAAATTCATAAACAAACAAACGAAACACAAAATGGATATCGTGATGATATGAAAAGAATCATTTATGTGGTTTAAAGTTCAACCGGCATTATAAACGTCATGGAATGTTCATAAGTTGAACTAAGGTCAGTTGTCAGATATGGCTGTGGTTGTAGTTTCTTGAGTGTTACGTCTAAAGGCTTGTAACGCTAAAAACCGAGATAGCACAGATAGCCTATTGTATAGCTTTGTGCTTAACAGGGTGTATTTGTTTGTGACGCTGCAACTGGAAACGTCGGGTTTGAATAAACTTTTTTTTTATTATCTGAAGTGTGATTAGTTGTTTTGTTTGTATAAAAGCAAAAGTAATAGAAAAACTCGAGATTTAATAAATTATAAAAACGGGGCTAAAGAACAGAAAGCGTTAAACCTAAAGCTTGCTTCAAGTATCAGTACAAGGAGCTCGTGCCGAGAACACTAGTTCTTTTTTGTTTTTGTTTAGACCAATAAAGGATGGCCAAGTGGTTAGGGCGCTTGACTCGAAGTCTGCAGGTAGCGGGTTCGAATCCCAGCCCACCAAATATGCTTGCCCTAACAGCCGTGGAGGCGTTACAATTTGGCGGTGAATCCCACTGTTCGTTGGTAAAAGAGTAGCCCAAGAGTTGGCGGTGGGTGGTGATGACTAGCTGCCTACCTTCTAATCTTACACTGCTGAATTAAAGACGGCTAGCGCAGATAGTCCTCGTGTAGCTTCATGACCTAATAAATGAGTATTTTAACTTGTTGTTTCACGTAGTGTGTAGAAACAGAAGCGTGTACACTCAGCATCGAATAGGATCTCTCTGTTTCTACACACTACGTGAAACGACAAGTTAAAATACTCATTTATTAGGTCATGAAGCTACACGAGGACTATCTGCGCTAGCGTGTACACTCAGCATCGAATAGGACATCTTGTCCATCTAACATCAGTTTTCCAAACAGACAGTGTCCCCATCAAAATTTCTTAAAGATGTCGACCAAGGTAGCTGGTAAAGAAAATGGCAGACAAAGAAAGAAGTCATCCGGATGGTGATCCAAATCTCCAAGTTCAGAAGATCTCGCGAAACGTGAAGAAATCGCCAAATATGTCACAAAATGATTCTTCGTCATCGGTGGGAAACGGCAAACGAAGGAATGGGGGGGAGGGAAGCATGCGAAAACGCAGTCTCACGCTGGCGTTGCCTCTCACCCTGTCCTCCCTGCTCCAACTCAAGGTAAGTGAATTACATATACGTGTCTTGTCCGTCTCGTAGTTCCTCTAAGGTAAGTGGTTATAATTGACACGAAACTTATCCTTACTGTGGTAGTTATTACTCAAACTTTCGGCTATCAGTTTTCTAATATTCAAAAGTTCTTCAGAAATATTTGTGTTTGTGTTCAGATGATCCAGGGTTCGTGTCTGTACCTTGTGCTATACTGATAACCGTGTCACTCTTGTAATTAGTATTGTATGTAGTGATATATGATGATAATCTGGCTTATTTTACGATTAAAAAAAATATCAATACGTGATGAAATACGTATCGTACACCTTTATAGGCTACACACACTAAATATTCTATGATTAAAAATAATTAGTTTGAAATGAAAAGAACACACTTGTAAAGGTATTTTTTGCTTGTTTTAAATTATTCTTGTTACTGCCATCCCTGGAGTTTCCATTTGTTTTTAGAGCACAACTACACATTGGGAATCGAACCATGGATTTTAGCGTTGCAAGTCCGTAAACTTTCTGCTGACCCACCACCAGGAGGACAATTTTACCAGAAGAACAAGAAAACAGAATTGTTTCTTTAACTAAAATTGTTTATTTTTTATCTAAGTTATTCCCCATCTCCATTTCCCTTTTCGAATTATACATATTTGGAACTAAATTCTTCTTCAGTTTGAGATGTTATTCTCTTTCATGATCTTCAGTAAAAAAACAAAACAAAGTTAATATAACTTCGAACTGATCTGGGGATTGTAAAGAGATTATTTAAAACTAATGAAACAAATTATGAAGACGTTTTAAAGTGGAGTAAGCTAACTGTGAAGCATTAAACGAGCGAAAGAGCTGTGATGGGAGAGAAGAATAGCAATAAGTAGGTTTGAGCTAAAATTACAAAGGATATATAGATAAGTAATACACCCATTCGCAGGAGATTTCTGGAAGACCCAGGCTTGGTCTTGAGAATTATATAAGAAATTATAAGGTTGGTACTACCAGAAATGACGTTTAAATCTTGTAATAGCCTGTTTTGTCCTTCCACACCTGGCCCTGCATGGCCAGGTGGTTAGGGCGCTCGACTCGGAATTTGAGGGTCGCGGGTTCGAATCCCCGTCACACCAAACATGCTCGCCCTTTCAGCCGTGAGGGCATTATAATGTGACGGTCAATCCCACTATTCGTTGGTAAAAGAGTAGCCCAAGAGTTGGTGGTGATGACTAGCTGCCGTCCCTCTAGTCTTACACTGCTAAATTAGGGACGGCTAGCGCAGATAGCCCTCGTGTAGCTTTGCGCGAAATTAAAAAAAACAAACCTTCTACATCTTAACTGCTGCTCCTATTTCTTGCCAGTGCTTTAGATCGAAGCAGTTAAATATAAAAGGAAAGAAGAAAAAATAACAGGAATCGCAAGAATAGCCCCGAAAATGTTATCTTGGCGTTAACTTTTTAGATATATTTCCTGGACCTGAAATGATATAAATCAAAGTGATTCATCTCTTTTGCGTTTGTGATAAAAATACAAACAGCTGATAATATCCCCAAATTATAAATAAATATAGATTAGTGACATGGAAAGGTATGCAAGATTTTTCACCGAGATATAAATGTTGTGTATAAGGCACGTGACTTTGGTGTTACTTTTGCAGAAGAGCTTTGATCTATCTTGTGGCTAGTGTTTCAGACAGCAAAATATGTACTTCTTTGAATGACAAGAAATGACCTATTGTTGGGCCTTCAGACACTTAGTTAGTTTTTGTACATAAATATCGAAATACGTGGTTAACTGATAACTACATTTTTTTTTCCTCGGAGTCACTTGTAGAACAGATGGGTTATCAGACATCATATTTGACTTTGAGGTGTACGTTATTGATTAAATGATGTATACTTTCTCACATTTAGGAGCTACTTTTGTCACACCCTGTACGATAATAGTTTTAAATGTGCTATTGATGATATTAACTGCAAGCAATCTAGTATTCTCCTGATATAAATTGCAGCAGGGATGGGTGACTAAGGCACAACTGGTACTGACGTCCTTAAAGTCCCAGAAAATCAAAGAATGCGTAAACAGTAACGCAAACCTACATGTCAAAAATATGATATCCTATAACCCGAGCGTTTTGAAAAGGTGAGAAAAAAGTGAACTTTCAGTGACGTCATGCAGGCTATCATGGAAATCCGGAAGTGTTTTCAGTAGCTTTAAATGTATTATTATAAGTGTTTCTCCTTTCCGGTGTAGTACTATCGAAAACAAGAATGTTAGGTGTGAAGATGTATTGTTTTAAAAAAGAAATAAATGGTGACGAGAAGCTACAATAAGTGTTGGTAAAGTATAATAAACGTGAGGTATGAAGATTGATTTAAAAAGCAATGTTAAACAAATATAATTAAACAGAACGTTTCTGAGGTATGAAGATTGATTTAAAAAGCAATGTTAAACAAATATAATTAAACAGAACGTTTCTGTATTTTGTTTCTTGATTTAAGTACTGTTGTGAGCATAATTTATTGAATACTCCTCCAACTGGTTAACTGATTGATTGGTGAATCACAAAAGTATTGTGTGATACAGTGTGGCCACCTAACGGCCGAATGCGTTATCAGTTAAGCCATGCAGTAGAACATTGATTTATTACTGAGAAGACTTGTCAGAGTTATGTGTTGTTTTTTTATAATTTAAAGAAAATGTTATATTACACGGACCTCTGTTATCCTTGTATGAAACCAAGCATGCTTATTATGTCAACCAGGTCATGTGAGTGCCCGGTGTGACCTGGTTTTTAAGGGTCAGTAGGTCTAGAGGAGTAAAAGTACCCCAAGTTGATAACAGTAGTATCCCATTAGTTAAAATGGTTATCACAATTAACAGTATTGTAAATGTGACTCATGCAGAGGAAATGTTACCTAATAATGGCCACCAGGTAGCGTTGTTCGATTTCAAGAGGATGTATAAAAGACCCAAATAGTACTACCTAGATATACATTGATAATGGTTATATTGCTGTTATTAAATTATCTGTTACCTTTCCAAGCATTTAATTGGTCACCTAGATATACATTGATAATGGTTATATTGCTGTTATTAAATTATCTGTTACATTTCCAAACATTTAATTGGTCTTTATTTTTGTATTTATTTACAGAAAGAACTCAACGTGTCCAGAAGAGGAAGGTGAGTGAACAGTACCGATGAAAAATAAGTTCTTTAATAAAACTTTCAAGTGTCCGTCTCGAATCTTCATAATACGTACATTTTTTTAGAATAAGAAACAATGCTGTGAATCTAACTAAAATGAAAGGAACTCCGTTTTTGGAAGTAATTTCTTCGTGAACATTGGATTACTTTAACCACTTGATGTTCATATAAACGGGTTTTGTGTCTAACAGTTTTAATAGATGCGTAATTATTTCATTAAAACTTAAAAGGTTTAAAATTTTTAAGTAACAATCAAGTACAGTTAAGCTATTAAATGTGTATTATTTGAAGTGTGTTATTTCAAAGTTTGTTTGTGTTTTTTTGTTAACAGTCGCTGTACGACAAGAAAGACCATGATTAGTTCCACTTCACCGACGTTACCTCGTTGTCACTCCCCCATTTTACATTGTAAGTACCACGTGTTAGGCTTAACAGATGGATGTAATACGTCCCCTGTTAAGAGTACTACTTTACAGGATAAATCTTGACGGAACTAATCTTAGAAAGATAATTTTAGAGTACATTTTTTCAGGACTAACTACTGTATATAAGTTACTAGAGGTCATAGGTCATGTTGAAAGATCTGTTCGTGACTTAAGACTCGATGAAGCATGGACCTCGAATTGTCATCAACCTTTAATAAAAGTACATGAAAAGTTTATAAGAAAATACATTTTTCAGTGCTTTTTAGATTGCCCATAATACACGGTGAAAGAAAAAAAAATCGTTATAAACTCCACCCAGTGACTAGTAAGTCAGCAGGTGTACCACACAAAAAAATCAGAGCGCTGTGTAGCTTTGTGCTTAACAACAATCGAACTGAAACAGTATTTATATACAAATGTTTCTTTATTTTTACCGGTATCAAGTACATGAGCAACAAAAAGTAACCGAGAAATAACATATTGCGGATTTGAACAATGGTTGATTGAATAGCAGTTTTTAAAGTATCAGAATATATATATGACATCAACCAGTTTTATTTTTGTTGATCGACGCTAGATTTTAATGAATAGTTGTTCAAAACATTTGTCTTTAATACTACACTTCTTTACACAGGTTATCGACAATCACGCTCCTTTGAATGTCAGGGAGTTCCTTGCTCTTACCAGTGATACGAAAACATATCTGCGATTATTGGACTCGAACAATCACATGGCATGCTAGATTTTCATTGTGTTTTGCACGTACACACATCGTAATAACTGGGATGATTTATACATGTATTGCCAGATAAGTGACACGCAGTAAATAATCACGTGGATAATGTAAAACACGGGCACGAGCTACTAAAAATAAATGACTGAACCATTTGAACTACAGGGTCAAAATAATAAACTAGGAGTATATGCAAATTAGATAGTTGTATCTTATGGTCTCGTGTATATTTGCTTCTCAGAAATGTTTGAGGGGCTAACTGCATTGCTAACAATAACAAATTATATCTGAAATGTAGTCCCACGTCGAGCGATAACGCATTCTTAGCGTTAACAAAATGAATTTTATACTTTTGAATGTATTCTGTATATATTAAATTATTTAAATAACGTTTTAGTGTGTGTGTTCGATAGTTAATGGCGTTAGATATTTTTTTCTTAAGGAGTGAAATTACTTGAACTGTTTAAATTGTTGTGACGTAGTATTAGTTTTACTTGGCATTAAAATATAAGTTTTCCTATGTACTTAACTTGGTGGCCAAGTGGTTAGGGCGCTTGACTCGAAGTTTGCGGGTTCGAATCACAGCCCACCAAATATGCTCGCCCTAACAGCCGAAGAGGCGTTATAATGTGACGATCAATCCCACTATTCATTGGGAAAGAGTAGTCCGAGAGTTGGCGGTGGATATTGATGACTAACTGCCTTCCCTCAAGTCTTTCACTGCTAAATTAGGACGACTAGAACAGATAGCCCTGGAGTAGCTTTGCGCCAAATTCAAAACAACCGAAATTTAACTTGTTAAGTAATTACTTTTATATTAGTAAGTGTTACAGAAAGAAACGATGCTTTGTTTTGAAGTAACTTATTAAACGGTTACAGAATCTCATCATTCCATATAAAGTTCGTGTAGTAAACATACAATATTTCTATCCACAACTAACATTGTTCGTGCACTAAACATACAGTATATCTATCCACAACTAGCATTGTTCATGCAGTAAACATACAGTATTTCTATCCACTACTAGCATTGTTCGTGCAGTAAACATACAATAT